TTTCCTGAATTTACGTGTCAATAATAATTTTGGAAGGCTAGGATTCATCTCAAGAGTTAGCTAATTTTACTGGAAAGAAAAAGTATACAATGTTTTTATTAAATCAGATGCTATGTTGCCATAGTACAAAAGTCTTTTGTGCTTTATGTGCAAAGTTGCAACTTTGTGTCCTGCTCCAATAATGAATAAAAAAACAGTTTATCATTCCTTCTCCTTCTTTCCTTCTTAGGCCATAGAAAAATATTTCATAATGATAAATCATTTTAAAAACTATTTTATACACAACTCAAGAACACATTTGACTCTGGCTATCAAGGGCAAGACAAACTTTATAAATAACACACTGAATATTTTTATCCCTCTTACCAAATTTACACAGTCGTTTATATATGCACGTATTCAGGCAAGCAAACTATCAACTATTCCCTTCCAGTGTTATACAGAGCACCAAAAATAGCAAGTCAAAGATGTAAGATATGAGAAAAAAGAGAAGACGATGCTGTTAAATGCTATGTTGTAGCTGCCATTAGATGGGTCCATGGTTGTTGACCTCTATCACTCAGGACAACTGTGGTCCACTGAAGCTTTATACCAGGGGGTCTTCAGACTTGGCCCTTTTATGACTTGTGGACTTCAGCTCCCAGAATTCCTCAACCAGGCACGCTGGCTGAGGAATTCTGGGAGTTGGAGTCCACAAGTCATAAAAGAGCCAAGTTTGAAGACCCTTGGGTTAGTGGATCAAGAAGAAGGGGCAAGCAAAGAACATGCCGGCTTGATAACATCACATCCGGTACAAACTCAAACATCCAACATTTGAAAGAAGCTGCTCTTGACAGGGTAGCATGGCGAACGCTTGCCTATAAAGTCGCCCAGAGTCGGACACAGCTAAATCCACAGGTCCCACCAGGTCCTGATTAAAACCCCACTCTGCAATTCTGCAGTCTAGAGACAAAATGTTAACGAACTAGATCTCCCAACACCCTGCTCCAGATGGCTCACACTGTTGGAGACTGTTGGAACATCCAGTTCATGAACTTTGAACCAGCTTTCTGTGCTACTCACCAAAGCTTTCAATTCATAGCAGCACTGGAGCAGTTTTCATCATGATGATAGCAATTAACCTTTCAGAGTCTGAATACAAACTGCCTGAGTGGCACGTACAAAGGTCTTATTTCCTACACCCTGATTTTAATCTGATATACATGTCAGAAGCAGGAAGAAACTACATTTGCATCCATAGACCATTCTTGTACAAGATAGGTTGGTTTTAAATGTTATTGTTAAAAACTCCCTGGGGTTAAAAAAAGGGGGGGGGATTCCAGATGTTTTTAATAATGCGATGTATCCCAGGCCTTACATCACTTGTAAAGGTTACAGGCGTACATTTTGTTGTGTTCTCTTACTAAAGCTACTGCAACAACTCTGAATGTTCAAAATAAATTCCAATTCCTCAGGTAAAAACCACCAATTAAGGGGATGAAAACAATATCTTTCCCAAAAAATTTGGAGTGATAGTAAGGTTGTGGGACCAAAGAAGAAACAAAGCAAAGAGCAACATAAATTCTCAGTTTACCTTCAGCTACAGGCCAAAACAATAATTTTTCTACCATTTAACAGAAGACATTTATAGAATTTAAAAAAAAAAAACCAATGTGTGCATTCATTATTCTAAAGCAGCAGGGAAGGATCTACTATTTGAGGCAACTTTCTGGCAACTCAGGTTAAAATAAACAGCGACTTAGAGGGAATCAAAACTATCCAAGAAAAGGAACCAGTATACAAATAGGGAGACTTCAAATTAATTAAATCTCACAGAGCTTCTTCAATAGGATTAGAACTTTCCCACCCATCTCTCCGCCCCCCCCCCAGCCAAAGATGCAATTATGACATCACCCTGAGCCTAGTCCAATGTTGTGTGAAGGCATAATTTTCAAATAGTAAGCCTGTCAAACAAAGCCTGTCTCCGGATCGAAGTTTGTGATGTTGATTCTGAGATTACTTTGGACAACAAAAGGAAATAAAGCAATTCAACTTGATTCCAATCAATAAGAAAAGCAGAAGGAATGCTCAGAGTTAGAGCCAAGTCTGGCCTCTCACGTTTTTGTTTTTTCCCACCGTGGTATTCTGCATATCTGTTCATCCTCAGAAAGTGTATTTATATATCTATTTTTATTTAAATTTATGCTTTTAAGAGTTGGTTGCACTAAAGGCCATTGGATAGCTGCCTGGGTACTTTATCAAGTGGAAAATGAATTGTGCTGGATAAAATGCTTAAATGCCCAGCCCAGCCCTGCATTGCAATGTACCTTTTTAAAAATATTTTCCACTGTTTGTTTGTTTGGGGGGGGGGGTTTGCAAGAACTGACCAGAAGATTCTGCCACTTTTCCTTGCCTCATTTGGCTAAACTAAACCAATCAACCTGGGCTATGCTATGAACTGGCCTTGGACACAGAAATGCCAAAGCAGTCAGGGCATTCATAACTGCCCCCCTGCCATTTTGCTCCAGGATGAGAAAATAAAGCAGGCAGAAAAAAACCCTCTCCAGCTTTCTCCTTTTCCAGTTCTTAGGGACCCACACATCCAACCGCTCAGCAGGGCAGCTAACCCCCCAGTGACCCTGTACTCTTTTGCCTTTCCTCCCCTGTCTAGTTCTGAATGTATGTTTTCTTCCCTTGCTCTCTTCCTACACAGAGAGGTAATCCCATAGCAAATACTGAGTCACTTTGACGGCACCAAAACAGCTTAACAGAGATGCACGAGGCAAAGGTTTGCAAAAATACATTTTCCTTCCCTTGTCCACCCCCATTTCTCAGTTTCTCTTGCGCCATTGCTGTCGTAAGATCCTATCTTCTGGACAGCTCATCTTTTGTAAGCTCCCTCGGGAAGCACAATCCACAAGGGGTCCCTTCTAGATGTGCCTGGGAATGCCAGGAGCTGTACTCCCAACACATCTGGAAGGCTTGCAATAGTGACGAATATCTTGTTAGCTCGGGTGAAGGTTCGTTCTCCGAGCTTGTGGGCTGGCTTCTGAAGGTTACATTACCAGTCTAGGTAATATCTCCAGCGGAGTTTAGGGGTTCAGAAACCAACCCACCAGCTCGGAGAACGCACTTTCGGCCACATCTGGAAGGCACTAAATTTGGGAGGCTGTAACAAGGGTTACTGCATTGTCACCAATAGACATAGAGACCTGTAAGCAAAACCCACAAGGATCTCTGCCCCCCAGAGCTTACAATTCTTTATTTAATTTTGCCACTCTCTCTCTCTCTCTTGAAGGGCCTTCAAACAGCAATGTCATCTACAGATATTAGCAAGTGATGGTGGTGCTTATTTCTCTGCTGTGAAGCCTCTGCAGATTAGCGGCTGTTATCAGGGGTAAGCAAGGTCTCTCTCTCTCTCTCTCTCTCTCTCTCTCTCTCTCTCTCTCTCTCTCTCTCTCTCTCTCTCTCTCTCTCTCTCTCTCTCTCGTCAGCTGATGCTTTGCATTTCAAAGGAGAAGACATCAGGGGGAAAAATTGGGAAATGAGCAGGATAGAGAGATGAATTTCAGAATCCTTTGGCATTTTGACTTCTAGCGCAGGAAGCACTTTTTTAAGTTTTTACTTGAAACATTTTTCTATGGTAGCTTTCGAACAGCTCTGTTAGGCAGGCCTGAAAACAACTGCCATATTATTATTATTATTAAATAAATGTATACACTGGCTGGCTCCCAGAGATTCTGGGAGGCTTACACATTGTTTCAAACCTGAAACACAAGGGCCATCATAATGGCGTTGACTTAAAGCAGGAGAAGCCCCATGGAAGTTTTGACCGTCAACTCCAATTGGCTCTGGGGCCACACGGGAGCTGTAGTTCCAAATATCTGTCAAACTTAGTTGAACACAGTTAAGCTAAAGCAACCAATTATTGCAATTAGTTTGCCAGATAGGCTGAACACAGGCAGCCACATTTCACTGAGCCAGTTGCTTCATACACACACACACACACACACACACACACACACACACCAATCCCTGTGGTCAGTGGCTGGATTATCAGAACCTGAATTAATTTAATAGACCACGCTTAAGTTCTCCCTACATACCAGTTTGGTTTAAAAGTCAGCAAGTCTGTCCTGCAGCTGAAAAGAGCTAAGCCCTGAGGTCACCTTATCAACTCTGCACCTCTCACGACTTCCTACTCTCTTCTTACTTACTTCCTACTCTGTCACCGGCAAGGGCCAATTTTAATCCAGCTAACGAGGGACTCCGAAGGCCCTTATTCCCTTTGGAAGGGAATCAGGACCCGGAGCCCGTCCCTAAAGCTACCCAACCAAGCACAGGAACCTCCACTTGGCACAAGGGTGCATTTCAGAAAGCGGTCCACGCTCTCAGCGCCCGCACCAAGGGGCAGCGGAGCCCTTTAGTTGGGGGTAACTCCGACTAACTCTCGCCCCTGTCCGCCGGCTCCGAGGGGGGCTAAGCCGGCTCGGAGGGCTTCGGGGGGCTCTCCCTGGGCTCCAGCCCAAGAGCGCGGCAGGCGGAAGACGAGGCGCGAACGGCCGGGCAGAGGGACCGGGGATGGGGGGGGGCTGCGCCTGGCTGGCCGGCGGTGTCAGTCAAGGCAACCTGCGCCAAACACGCCCCTTCGCAGCACCTTCGGCGCCTCCCGCAAGCCTGGCACAGACCCGGGCCGGCGGCGGAGAGGCAGGGCGCACCGCCAGCCCAAGGCAGCCCGCTCGCTCCCTCGCCCGCCTCTGCGGCCGCGCTCGGGCGGGGCAGGGACACGCCAGCCCTTCGGCCCGGGGCCGGGGGGGGTCTTTTTTTTTTTTGCAACGCGATGGGCAGCCTCCCCCCTCCCCATGAAGCTGCATCTACGTGTCCCAGGATAAGGTTGCCGGCTCCAATCTGGGTCGGTCACCGGGACCAGAGCGCCCGCCCCCCCCGTCTCCTTCCAAGCGCCTGGTCCCTCTCGCCCCCTCCCCACCCCCCGCCGCCTTCCCCACCGGCCTCCCGCTCACCAGGTAGGCGCCCACGGTGCCCTGGGCCAGCATCAGGACGCACTCGGACACCAGGAAGACCTGGATGCTGGCGAAGCGCGAGTCCTTCTTTTTCCGCTTCTTGGCGCGCTGCGCTTCGTCCCCTCCTTGCAGCTCGCCGACCTCGCCGCCGCCGCCGCCGCCCGTCGAGGAGCCGCGGGACTTCTTCGCCTGCATCCTCCGCCTCCCCTGCCTGCTGCGCGGCGGGTCCCCGAGGCTCCTGGCCGCCTCCCCACGAGCTGCCCGGGCGCGGCGGCTCCAATCAGATGCCCGAAGCCGGCTGCCGCCTCCGCCGCCGCCGCTGCTGCTCCTGCTGCCGCCCCCGGCGCTCGCCTCCCTTCCTGCCGGCAGCCGCCGCCGCCGCCGCTAGTGCTGCCATGGCCGGCTGGCTCTTCGCACGCCTCTTTCCTCCGCCCGCTCCGAAGGCTCCCCCTTCCTCCGCGCTTTCTCCTCCCCTCGCGCGGCCGCCCTGCCAGCGCCGGCTCTCGGGCGCTCCTGCCGCCGCCGCCCGCTGCTGGATGGGCGCCAAGGGGCCGGGAGGGGCAGCCCCGGGGAGGGGGCGCCCGCTTGGCGAGGGGAGGCGGCGGCTCCCGGCCTCCTCCAGGGCGCGGGGACGGGGCGGGTGGGGAAGGAGCCGGGGCGCGCCCTGGGGAGCGGCGCGTAAACGTGCTCGGCGGGGCTGGAGGCGAGGGAAGGGGCGACCTCTGCGGTGGGCTTGGGTGGGGGGAAGAAAAGGGGGCTGCCTGCCTTAGCCCAACACCTTGGCTTGGCCCCGGCCTGGCCTTTCTGGACGCCTTACTCCTGGACTCCTGGCCATGCTCGGTTGGGTTCACACGACCAAGAGAGCCGGCTTTGGCTTTCGTGTTTGGCACGGACCAGCCCCAGGGAAGGTTTCGTGGTTTGGGCTAAATCTTTGCCTGCCCAGTTGTGGACTCTAAGAGCCCTCCAGAGTACTTCCGGGGTAGGGGTTAAAATTTAAAAAAAAAAGTCAAAAAGGTGCAATGGAAGCTCCGCAAATGACACATACGAAAATAGGTGGAGCTTTGTTTGGATGATCGTGGATGCCATTATGATTTTTTCAACCAGACCCCAGATATGCCTCTGCTTCCAGGGCTTTGCAAACCTGATCCTTAAGGGGGACTCTGTAGATTAACCACCTGGTTAATCAGGTGTAACTTCAGGCACTCTGAGAAATGGCTCCATGTCTCTGTAACAGTTACACCTTGGTCAGCGTTAAGGCTGTCCAAACATGGACAGGAAGATGGATGGATGGATGGATGGACAGACAGAGGGGATGGATGACAGACAGATAATGGATGGGGAGACAGATGATGAAATGACAGGCAGAGATAGATAGATAGATAGATAGATAGATAGATAGATAGATAGATAGATAGATAGATAGATATAGAAGATAAAGAGAAATAATGGATAGAGGGATGGATGAGATGGTGAATGGACAAAAAGAAACGGACGTTAGAAGGTAGTGGGGTGTGGAGAGAGGAAGAGGACCATGGAGTCCATGGTGCTCTCACGGCTTGGTGGTTTTCTTGCAGACATTTCATTGCCAAACCAGGTAACATCATCGCTTGATAACATCTGATCAACTGATGTGGTTACCTAGTTTGGTAATGAAACATCTGCAAGAAAACCATTAAGCTCAAAGAGCCCCAAGGACTCTCTAGTTTAACTCTGAGCTAAAAATATTCTCTTATATCAGTACTTGAGTACCTGCCTTGTGAGACCAAGCTGGAGAAGGAAGGGAGCCACAATAGTGGCATTCAGGAAAATAGTAGTAACATGTCACAGGAACGTCATCAAGTATTTTCCATGACTGCACAAACTAAGACCAGAAATATCAGCTAGAAGTTGCAGCTATCTGGATTCTGTTTAAACACAAGAATAAATCAACAAATTGAATTGCAAAGACCTCAGCATTTAGCCACCTCTTCTGGGCTGTAATTATCTTGGATATCTCATTCGATGTCAATCTGTTTAGCCCAGAGCTGTTGCGTGCAACGACCTTTTTTGCCTGCTTCTGCTCCTTGTGTCCTGCAAAAAGCAACGTGGCCCCAGAGTGACTTGTAAACTTGTAAACAAACACCAGCCACTGTGCACGCTTGTTCTCTCTCTCTCTCTCTCTCTCTCTCTCTCTCTCTCTCTCTCTCTCTCTCTCTCTCTCTCTCTCTCTCTCTCTCTGCAAGAAATGAGCAGCCAAGGTTTGTGAAAATTCTCCTGTGCTTCAGACCATCGTCTTTTCCACTGCAGCTGCCTTTTTTTTTTCCAAGGGGCTATATATTTTAAACCCCGGCAGCTGTCAGGCCCACAAGTCACTCCCAGCAGACATGGAGGCAAAGAGGTTTTTAACTCTTTCTCGCCCTAGACCTGAGGAGCAACATGTCTTCTTCTGTCTCTGGGTCATACCTGAGCAATTGCTAATATTGCCTTGCACCTTGGCTTGTGCATCTGATTAAGAACCTCAAGCTCTTCCTCCTCCTCCTCCTCCTCCTCCTCCTCCTCCTCCTCCTCCTCATGCTCCTCCTCTTTACTTATAAAATTTATTGTCCACCCATCTTACCACAGGTGGTCCTCCTCCTCTTCTTCCTCTTCCTGTCTAGGCTCAGACAGAATTGGTTCAGGAGCTTTTTGCCTGTATCTTAACCTGTAGTCCTATAATCCAAGAATTAGACCCAGAAACAGATGTCTACCACCATTTGGCTATGCAATAAATAAAATCAACCCTGTATATTCTTTTAGGAAGGGCCTGCATATGTAGGGCAGTCTATAGCAACAATGGATAAGCATGACATGATATCTTTCACCTGCATGTCCATCTTGGAAGTTGTAGGGGTTCTAAGATAATGACTATAGAAAGTTATGATGAAGCTCCCTAATCTGGCAACTTTCCCAGGTTTAGAAGCTGGCCAGCCTTGTTTACATAAAACCCACATCACCTGATTAATGAATTAGGTTACAGACCTGATGACGCGTGTTATGTGAATGATACATTCAATACGTTCAACGTTCAAACAGGCACATAGGACAGGAATGTGATGTCCATGAAAGCTGACTAAGTCCAAGATACACTAAATTGCCTAGTTTTCCCCCTAAAGAATCTTCTTTAATGCCAGATACTTCTGATGAGTAAGTGTCAGAATGCCTATGGAGATTCTCAGTCATCCAGGTTATGGTTGTCCCAATGGTGCTTTTTCAAGAGGCAACTGGACTTTCTTGTTTTTCTTGAAGATGTTTTGCTTCTCATCCAAGATGCTTCTTCAGCTCTGACTGGATGGTGGGAATGGAAGGATATATATTCCTTGCAGATAGCTGGTCATTTGCATTATTTTAGAGAGTCACTGAGACCACTTGGAGGTCTACCTGTGTCCTCAAGGTCACCTGAGTGGTGCAAATGGATGTGGAGCCTTCATGGAACTGCTGAAAGGACTGTGCTATAGACTGGAGATAGATGATGTCGGATCCCTCCCCCTCTGTTGAGAGACAGCTGTTCAATTTTGAAGCTTCTTGGATGAGAAGTGAAACATCTTTAAAGAAAAACAAGAAATGACCTGATGACTAAGAATCTCCATGGACATATACCCACAGTCCTTTCAGCAGGTCTTGAAAAAGCACCTTTGGAACAACTGTCAGAATCCTAGCTAGCCTGGATCCTTGGATTTCAATAATGCAAAGGGCACCAAGTCAGAGCAAAACAGTTAAAAATATCTAAAAGATGAGTTTGAAGATATTTTGAACAGGCTGTGTAGGTGCAGGAGATTATATGCTATGGACACATCGTACATGGTAAAGAAGACTTGGCGGCAAGGACAGCTATATGCCTGGACCCTGATGGGCTTGATGGTGGGTGACCCCATGGCAGACCCAAGAAACAGTGGATGGATCGCATCAAAGAGGACATGAAATGCATGAGCGTCACCCCTGACGATGCCCAGGATCAAGCCAAATGAAGACAGTTTTGCCAACTGGCAGACCCTTCCATAGTGCAGGAATAATGCTAGGAAGAAGAAGAAGAAGAAGAAGAAGAAGAAGAAGAAGAAGAAGAAGAAGAAGAAGAAGAAGAAGAAGAAGAAGAAGAAGAAGAAGAAGAAGAAGAAGAAGAAGAGAGGAGGAGGAGGAGGAGGAGGAGGAGGAGGAGGAGGAGGAGGAGGAGGAGGAGGAGGAGGACGATGACGACGTAGAACAAGTTGGGACTTCAACAAGACAGGTTCATGAGAAATGCTCAGTCAGAAATGTGCATGTTTCTGGCTGAGTGTGATAAGAAAACTGGGTTACTACTATTTAAGTCACAAACGAAAGTTAAAATCCTGGCTTGATGGGTAGTGAGCACAACCAGCAGCCGTTTCTTCTTTTTGACAAAAGTGTCCTTGAAATGCTGTGGTGTGATCTCATTACCTATTAACTGCTCAAACTGGGACATGTCCATGGCAAAGGAGGAACCAGTGCGAAAGGCTCCCTAAGTATTTCGCTTAAAAGCTTCATTCCAAAGGCTGAACTCATTTAGATTGTTCTGATTTGCAGCTTAGTGGGGAAATTAATTTTTGAATTACTGTTAATTGCCCCTTATTTAATCAGCATTTGTCGGTTAAATTATAGCTTTCCTACCATTATGGGTTCTTTCTTTTCTTTTCCTTTATAAATAGTAGGGTTGTGCATGCTTCAGAAATGATTCAAAATAGATGCTTTGAAATGTGCCCAAGAGTGTAAGAGCACAGGTTTAAAAAGGGCCCAGATGCAACTCATTAAAATAGCTCTGTTGTGTTTTTTTTTCCCCAGGCTTCTATGAAAAGAGATACAGTTGCTTTAAAGAGAAACTTTGCATATGATCTTGCACACTCCAAACCACCTATCGTGAAACGGATCTTGAAAGACCACAGGTCTTAAAGTTGCCAAGGTTAGATTCCTGTGATATAGACAGTAGTGGATTCAAATAATTTAACAACTGGTTCTGTTTGTTGTCATCACTGGCACGACATGCCTCGCATTGTCGTCATCACTGCATTGTCGTTATCAGTGTAACGCATGTTACATTTTCGTCGTCACCGGCGCAACATGCATCGCATTGACACCACCAGCACAATGTGCATCGCATTGACATCATCACCAGTGTGACGTGTATCACACTGATGTCATCATGGGCGCAACATGGCTCACGGCAACGG